GCTGTACTTTGACCCGGCCATTGCCCGTTGTTAGACTTTCACCCGGTAGCCAACCACCGCCGGATTTCCACCCGGCTGTCAATCATCATTAGACTTCCACCCAACCATCGTCGAATTACCACCCCGACAATCGACCTCCATTGAACTTTCGCTCGATCATTGTCGGACCACCACCAAGCAGTCGACCACCGTCGAACTTACACCCGACCTCCAACAGCCGCTAGACCTCCTCCCTCGGCCAACCATTGTTGGACCTTCGTTAGGCTGTCAAGTACGGTCCCACCGACCACAATTACCCACCGACTACGATCCCTATGAAGCTTGTCGACTACAATCCTTTCGAACACCTTTGCCTGTCGACTACGATTCTCCAACCACCGTAGCACGACGACTACAATCCATCCGACCGTTGTTGCTTACCAACTATGATTCCTCTAACCTTCGTTGCCCATCGACTATAGTCCCTTTGATCTCCGTCGCCCGCTGACTATCGGTCGTTATTGATTTCGATGAGGTGGCATCTTTTCCAGCTCTGATACCACTTGACTCCGGACGTCTTAGGCGTCACGCCAAGATTCGAGGCGGACGATGGAACGGACTGGCTTCAGGAATCACAGCCCAAACCAGCTCCCAAAGTACCTACTTCTTGAACAGTCACCACCTGAACTGATCAGGATACAGAACACCGAAACTGAGACTAAAAATCATTTATTACCTCTGTGAGCTTTTAACGGGCGTTAGCTGTATATATATAGTTGCATACTGGCTACAACTACACAATAATACGTTACTAGAACTACAACCACACAACAATATATCTATTGTAATATAAAGAAATTAACCAGGGCTGAAGTTTAACAGTATGCCTCCAAAATTTTTATCCTACCTCAAATTTCCCATGTAGACAATTATAATATTCATACGCTTTCAATGTCATAAGCTGAAATGTGATAAAAAATCACTCAATTTTTCGGAGCTTATAAAAACAATGATGTTAAAAATATATTGATTAAACTCAAGTGAAAATGATTCTAACAAGCTCATCTTGATCTGTTGGTTGTGAGCTTTGACTATCAACCAAGAGTCTTGAATTTCAAATTTGTATATTTGATGTGTGTATGAATTTATCTTAATCGGCTTGAATATCAAAAAAAAAAAAAGAAAAAAAAAATCTTTCTCTTTCCAAACTCCAGTCTTCAAAACGGATGGAGGACTTCAAATTGAAGCTACTGAGATTAATTTAACTTCCCAACAGCCATTGTTCTGAGGCATAAATAATTCAGAGCAAGCTGTACACTGAGATGTGATATAATAATTGCTTTAGTGAAAAGTTGGTTGTTTTATAATTAAGCTGATGAGTGTTATTGATTATGAATCTCAGCTTCTATTTCCCTTGGCCTTGAAGCATTCTTCTGCTCTGATTTTTGTTTTGTTTTTTTTTTACACTTTATTTCCTCTTCAGGCTAGGCATCAGTTGCCTCATTAATATTAATCTAATGAGTTTATTTGATTTATATGGCACTCACATATTCATATAATAATTTACTAAGCGTTTTTATGTTAATAATGTATTGGCAAACATATTGACTGTTGCGGGCTAGAATATATGTGGTGATAGAGTTAGAAAATTTTTGTCTCAACGTTGTACGGATATCTAACTCACAAACAGAAGAAAAATGCAACATCAGAATTTTTACGTGGAAACCTGGAAAAGGAAAAACCCACGGGGTCATGCCCAGTTGAAGGATTTCACTAGTGTTTTGCTTATGTTACAAGTGGTTGACTCGTCCCTGTAATTGAGGTCGATCAGATTACAATGATCAACTCCCGGGTTGAAATTCATTTACAAACAGGGATCGAAAATTCGGCGATGTTTGGTGGTTGGCGGAAATGCGGCGTCAGTCGGCTGTCGGGCAGAACTTCGGTGTCAGACGACGATTGGGCAGAACTCCGGCGTCAACCAACAGTTGGGCAGAACTTCGGCGTCGGCCTTTTGTCAGGTGGAAGTCTGGCGATGGTCGAGGAGTCTATTGGCAAGATAGCTCTTTTCCTTCTCTTCATTCTCTTATTGCTTCATTGCTTCATTCTCTTCTCTTCTTGTTTGGGGTCCTTGATTTGGATTTGTTTGAGCTCGGATTGGGTTGAATTTGGTGTTGTTATGTTTCGTATTTCCGAGGCGTTCAATTCAACTAAGTTTGCTTAAATCGGAGTTCAGATGGTCATGATCTCCGATTTAATTTTTTAAGTTTCCAACTTTATTTTTGCCTCTAGATTTGTGCCCTATCAAGATAATCTTTTTGATGATATATCAATGATGATGATGGTATCCGTTAGGCTGTTTTGGAGCTTTGCTATTCGGAAGAGAGCTCTTGTAGAATTCAAAAAGACTTAAGTGCAAGGAACATCTAAGATTATTTTTGTTTAGGTTTTGTTAAATGTAAATTTATTGAGTTAGATAAATCATGGATGAAAGTATGATGAGCACAAGTTAATTTAATTATATTTTAGCTAAAACTACTTTTATTTATGTTTTTAATGTCACAATAATCATTCTAGATTTTTTTCTAACTTTTTGGGGTTTTATTTGGTTTGGTTTTTAGTTTATTTGAATATTTCCAATTTATTTGTATGTTCTATTTGTTATGTTAATTGTATAATTAGTTATTAACACCTTAATTTTTATCACTATTATGATCTTGATCACTTAGAGCTTCAGAAAATTTATGTGATATCTAATTTCTTGTTCTTTTGACTAAATTTGTTGAATGTACTTAATTATACAAGCTATACTTTTTCTTAAATCAAAATTGAAGACGAGTGCGAGTTTTAGGGATACACCCGAGAACTTGTGCAAGAATGAAGAGAAAGAGAGGAAAAGACTACATCAATGAAGAAATAAATAAATACATAAGATAATGACTATTAGTACAAAGCCTTAGACACATGTCACACCCTAATCGGTTTCATGGGTGATTGCTTCTCTTAATTTTGTTTCTTTGTCTCGAAGAAATTTTCATATTGTTGGGGACCTTTGGTGGAGCTTTGGATTGCCTAGGAGTATGAGGTGAGTGCCTTTAGGTTTGAGGGGATAACGAGCTCTCTGGTCGGTTGACTATAATGAGCAAGCTGAAACCCTCTTGGATGAATTTTTTCCTGTAGCTAGGGTGACAAGCATGATTGGTGCTGCTCTGCCATTGAAAGCAGCAAGTGTCTTCCATGGCTATCCTTGACAGAGGGCGAGTGACAAATTGAGTAGTTTACAAGAACCCTTTACTATTCTCAAGAGGAGCGACTCCTTTATGGGTGTTTTGTCGAGTAAGATCTTGACGGCCTTTGGGCGAGTTCCCTTGTGGGTCCATGAGGTACGCGTTAACCTGTCATGATCCACCGACTACCTGTTGAAT